ACCTAAAATATTCATCTACTTTAAACAGAATCCCCTCATTACTACTGTCACTTAACTTATAAAAATAAAAAAAAAAAAAAAAAAAAAAGAAAATCAATTAAATAACATCAGCATTTTGTGCAAGATACACATCTAAAAGCACAATACATATTTGAAATCAAGCTCTTTAATTATATCAAATCAGCTATTCAATTAAAAAAAAACTAACTGGTTGATTTGAACCAATAATTAGTGACTATATATATGCAATGAAGTAATTACATTGATCAAAATCATTAGTATAACATGCACTAAACAAAAAAATAGATCCTGAAACAACTTTAAAAATCATTTTATCAACAAAATCTTTTATATATCTTACCTTATATATTGCCAAAATTGCTGATAAAATGATTATTTGAAAGTAGGCATTAGGAGATTATTCACAAATAGTTTGCCTGCCAAATATATAGCAATACAAAAATTAAATTTGGCAAGCAAACATAACAATGATGAATAAATAAGATTTTAGCTTATCAATACATAATCAATAATAAGCAATCAATAATAAGCAATCAATAGCAATAACAAAATAAGTTTTTAGCACCTAACAACAATCAAACAAAATTATAACTGCAAATGTATAACCCTAACTTTAAACCTGATCTAATTATAAATACCTAACTCTAACCAAACAGTCATATATATATAATTTTTACCTTAGCCAAAATTCATTACAAATATCAGTTTCTCTACTACCTAATAATTCTTTTTGTTAGCTAGATCAGATTTATACTTTGAACATCCATGAATATTATAGCCTTTACCCAAACAGTAACTGCAGGTTTTAGAAGATAAAATATAATGTTCATTATATTCTTTAACAGATGACTTGAGCTGTTTAGAGGATCATTCTCTCAGCTTATGATATTCTGGATTGAACACTTCAATATTATTCAAAGATTGTCATGTTATTTGAGTAATTGTAAAAAGTGCTAGTAATAAGTTGGAAGCAAGTTTTACAACTTCAGAAGTCATATTTAGAGGTGATGTTTCTTGTTCTACAACTTTAGTGAAAAACATACTTGAAGGTAAGAATATTTCTTTTATGTCTAGCCTAGTATTATGATAATATTTCATAATGAATTGTACTAATACTCCAGTTAATTCTTCAGTAACATCTTCAGAAACTGCAACTTGAACACTAGTTTTAGCTACAGACATTATTGCATCAAATTAAACTTTCTTGTTAACATGCTCTCTAATAGTTAGTGTATAAACATTACCAATTCTTAATTGATTAATGTAATGTAATGGTTTAGTCATAGTACTTTCTACACCTTAAGAGATTGTAATAAAATTTATAATATTAGATGAAAATAAATTAAACCAACAAGTATGAAAAGGTAATATATGAAATATTGCATTGCTTGAATGAATAAAAACCTGATATTGATGTCAATATAATATTTCTTGATTTACAATTTGCATACAAGTACAAAGCAATGTTGAGTCATTAAGAATAGTGACATTATGTAGTATTGAAGCTGATATGATATATAATACTTTCTAAAGCTCTTTAAATGCATTAGAAGGTATATCAGTTATAAGTTTCAATAAATGAATTTGAGGTATATCATATAATTATTCAATTATATTGCTATTATTAATATTATATTCCTTAATTTGGTTAATTGAAACTAGAGTTGCTTGATATAATAAAGCTTGATTTATTTGAGCCCTTTGTAGAGATAATAGAATAGGTGCTGACTTAGCCTTTAATACAAAATCAATTTCTTTAAATATGGTATTATAAATAGATACAAGACCAACAGATAGATTGGACTCATAATAATCTGCAATCCAAGTATATTGTGCTTTCTTTTCTAACTCTTAATCAATAGCACTTACTAATTCCTTTAATAAAATGCTACAGTTAACATACTTTTTAATAACCCCAATAATAGATTTGACATGCTGAGTGGATTCTATTCCTGCTGTAAATACCTTAGCTACTGAATATCTTGCCTACAATATATGATTATTATAAAGCTTTTCGAGATATGAATGACACAATTCGTATTTTATCAACATATTATAGTATTTTAACTCAAATTGCTCTTTACTACAGCTGTTTTACATACAATAAAAATCATTAACAAACTGTTTCATTGCATCACCTTTGAGCTTGGCTTCTGTTTTCTTTTTGATATTTTTAAGAAGATGATAAATATATAACATATAACATGTTTGTAGATAGAACACATAAACTGCAGCATTCATTGCTATATCATCACCAGTATACAACACCTTAGGCTGAAAATTATTAGTTGCTTTTAATATACATTGTAAAATCTAATTGTAATCAGCCTGAGTCTCATACTTAATCAAAGCTTGGACAATAACTTTCGTTTTAAAGTTGTTATCAATACCAACAAACAAACTAAGAGCCATCTCATATCTGTTGGTCTTTGTCATATTATTATGAATTACAACATCATGGAATCTTGTCCAAAGATTATTGTATTGTTAACTGGTTATTCAGAAAAGACCAGTAAGTTTATTAGATAGCTCTTCAAGCTGTGGTATAACTATATAATTAGGATTAAGATCATGTTGCTGTAAAAGGTATAATAGCATAATGCTTGCATCAGATTCATCATGGATTCTTACATCTTTAAACTTCTGAATCACATTATACAAGTTTTTTTTTTTTATATAATGTTGAGAGAATTCTTTGACAAGAAGATCATACTGCTAACCAGCACCTAAATAACCATTTGTAGTATAATGCTTAATCTTATTCAGAATTTCCTGTAGAAGACAAATTTTTTGGCACCAATTCAATAGTTGCTACATCACAGTTATGATTATACTTATTGTTAAATTTAGTAAGTCATACTTTTTTTTTATACTTTCCAAGATAAAAACCAACTTCCTATTTGCAATTTGTTTTACTTGAACTACTATTACAGTGCAAATTTATATCTTTAACCTTTTTTGGTTGATAAGTTTTTGCTTTTCAGCAATTGTAGGTATGTCAACAAACAATAAACTTATTAACAGGGTTAAGATCTTTATGATTTTTATTGGCTACAAAACTATTTTGCTTGGCAAATGAATTAACAACAGCTTGAACATGGTCTCAGTTATTAAAAAAATTTCCAACTTTCAATACCATTTCATTTACATCTACATTATGGTTATCAGTATTATTTTTATTTATATCATTATCACCAAAATCTGGTAAGTGGTTCTCCACATTGTCTTCATAATTTGATAGATGTTCCATTAAGCTTGTAACTAAGTGAAGAGAAAACAAGACTGTTAGTTAGTATAGTTTTGCAAAAAAATTGAATATGTAAGAGCACAAAGAAAGATATAACTAAAGAGAAGTAAAATATGATAAAAAGTTCCTATAGCTTAAATTTAAATGTGAAATGCTGAAATAGAATGCAAAAAAAGTTAATTGTGTCAATTCCTAATGCAATATCTTTATGACGTATAACACATTGCTAGTAAAAGTTACAGTTAGAGCTAAGAAAATACATAAAAGTAAGTTAAAAGTAAAAAATACAGTAATTAAAGATAAAGGGCTATAAATTCGAATATGGAATAATTAGATATTTAGATAACTATAAAAAGAATAAAAAAATTTGAATTATTAATAAACTATTTCTGTATAACACATATTGTATATACTAGGCACATAACATCAGTGATAATCACTAGTGCTAATTTGTAGTAATTTTCAATTTATATATACTCTTAAAAATATTAAAAGCATAAAACTTTAATATTTAAAAAGTTTAATTAGCACATTGTTTTATAATAAGTTTATATATTCAATTTTACTTTTGATATAAGAATGTTGTAGATCCAACTAAAATCTTTCTTAGAGTATATTGAAACTTATATTATCAAAGGTTTTTTATATTAAAGTTACTTTTTTTAAACTTAAACCCATAAATTTATTATAGCAAAGTACAGATAACTATATAGATTCATTATAGCAAAGTACCTTAATAGATCAAAATCTTGATATATCAAATAAAACATCCTAGCTTCAGAGGTTTATTATATTGAGATTATATTGTATTCCTATTACTTTGGCATTCAATTTAAGTTTTACCAAGCTCTTAGTTCAGATAGCCTAAAAAAGTAGATACAACTATACTTCTAGTTTATATATTCTCTAATATATAATATTTTATTTTAAAACAGACCTTGGCAGTCTTGCTGATTACAAGAACTCTTTTTAAAAGCCATATTTTTATCTAGTTTTACAAATTTTAGCTCTGTTTTATAGATTTAGTTTTTACAATAGTATTGCTAAAAGTTTAGAATATCTCTCTACTTGGGTTTTTTAAATAAACATTTATTTTTCTAGTTTCTGTAATTTACACAGTTGCAAGAACTTATTATGAGTTTATACTGCCTAGTACTAATTTGTGTCTCTTTATACAAGGTGCAACTGTTGTATAAATATGATATAACCTTTTAGTTATACTAGTATAATATGAATAACAGGTATCTAATTCTAACTAATAGTAAAAAACAGTTAACTATAATACAGAAAGAATTTTAAATTTTCTTTAATACTAGAATTTGAACTCTAGACCTGTCACTTGGAGGTTGACAACATAATTATTTTATTATATTACCATGTTTAAATATAACTGATTATTTAAATTAAATAATAACTAAAGTTATATAAATAGTTAGTTGTATATTCTTTTTATAATTGCCTTTGTAGTTGTTGTACAAACAGTTATTAGCTAAAACATACTATTAATAAAATTCCAAGTTATAAATATATATTTTAATATTAAAAAAAAAATTCTGCTAAAGAAAATTTTAATTTTTTTTAACAATTTATAATTAAATATATTTATAAAACTAGATAAAACTATTTTTTATAAGAGAATGATGATTCTAGTATAGTGGTTAGATTATTATCCTCCAAGTGACAGATCTAAGGTTCAAATCCCATCTATGATGAAATTTGGAAATTATATCTGCATTATAGTAACTGTTTCCTGTCAATCAGTTGGCCTTATGTGGCTGTTACTTAGGTACATCAGGTCAGGTCCTTCTGACTTTGGGAGCTCAGGCATCTATGCAAAGTATAACATTATATGTATATAGAGGAATGTTAACCAGTATTGCATAAGACTTCAGTGCAAACCCACGATAAGACCACCAGGTGTAAAAGACTAAGAAACCGAGATAACAGAAACCCTCTTGAAAATTCCTAAGTAAAGAGATAACATAAACTTTTGACGATACTATTGGACCAGTTGAAGCCTATGAAACATCTTCATAGAAACTGAAGATTAAAACTGAATGGCAAATATGTGTAGAGAAGCATATAACCAACCAGGTCACCAGATTTACCAGAGAAAAAAGATACAGAAGTATACCATATCAGACCATCTGAATTAGTAGTTTGAAATGAAACCAATAGTTCTGAGTTGTGACTAGTAAGAGATGATAGAAAAGATGCTAGAAAGATAGGTACTAGAGTTCAAGTAAACTTTATAAGAATAGAAATAGTGTAATGTAATGGTTAAGCAGGTAACTCCTGTAACTGCAAGTGTTAGGTAACTATAGCATGTTACATAAAACTAGATCTATATATATGAGACATAAAGGCTCTAGTAAGTTTTCTATCAAGGATAAAATAGTTCTAAGGGTAATGATAAGCATTGGAAACTTGAATGGGTGATGCCTTGAGATGTTTCTGTAATACAAGGAGGACTGCATATGCAGAGGGTTTAAATAGGCAAGACCTCTAGTTTGCTTGCAAGTATGGCAACTAGTATAAAACTTATATAGTAATATGTAAGTAAACTACTTAAATTAGGTACCAAAAGTGCATGTGTGGCTAGTTGTAATCTCCAATATAAGGTAAGCCCTTGGTGGCATGCCATGTTCTAATATACTTGAATAAAAACATCATATTTTTCAAGATAGGAACTTTAACTATAAAAAAAAAAAACTATTTTTTATAGAAAATAGCAATCTTAGTATAGTAGTTAGATTGTTATTATCTATATAAAAGGTTTAGAGTTCAAATTTTACTAATTATAAAAAGAGGAATGATTTTCGTACATCGGTTTCGTGTAACATCACGTACATCAATTTTTTTTTAACCAATAAAATCGCATTATTTTTTTGATTTTTTAGATGCTGATCATTTTATTTTATTTTTATTGGTCAAAATAAAATTGATGTACGTGATGTTACACGAAACTGATGTACGAAAATCATTTCTCTTATAAAAATTTGAAAATAGTCTTATTTTAGCAACTTGTTTGGAATATCTGAAGTTGTAATTCTGTAATTCTGATTGTATTAAGATTAACTTTGAAAGTATATAATGTTATATAAATAAATTTGAAAAGTATATACTTTATAAAAAGTTCTGTTTATAAATTATGTATTAAAGCAACTCTTTCTGTAGATTACTTATATCAAACTACAAAAAAACATTTAATTATTTCTCAACTTTTTACTAAGTAACCTTACTTGGCCCTTTAAGTAAAGTTATTCAGCATACTTTTCTTCTTCTAGTGGCTGTGTTTTAAGTTTCAAAAACATCTGGCTGCTAAGAAAAGTTTAAAACCCCAAAATTTTAATTTTTGTTCATTTATACAAGATTTTACTAATTAACCTATTTTATTACCTATTTAAAAGTTGTTCAGCTCATTAAGATGAACATTTTGATATATAATATATTCAAACAAACTAAAACTTATAGAGATACAAGCAAAAAGCAAAAACAAAAACTTGCCTTTACAGGTTTTTTTATTGGCATTTTAGGACAATTTACAGGGTTGCCCCAGAAATTTCACTTTTCTGGTACCTATTAGAATTTCCTAAACATCCAATTAGCTTATCTGAAGCCTATATACTTTTCCAAACCTTGCTAACTAGTCTGGAAATCTCTAAATTAAATGAATTTTTTCATAAAACATACTTAAAGATCTATTTTTAGAACAAAATGTTGACCTTGACAACAACTGCACCTGATATTATCAATCTTGATTATTTTTACTAAAAGTGTTCTAAAAGATTTGGTATTGGTATCCTTGAAGATGCAGCAAATACATCACACCCAATTTCTGCAAATAAGCAACTAAACAACTGTTTAATTACAGAACTTAGAAGAGAAACTAAAAGTTGTCATTACTTTAAAACACCTGAATCTAGTTCTATTATTACATGCTTCTGTAGCAAATTCCACACTTACTTTATCTCAACTACTAATCAAACCTACAAACAACCTGAAATTACTACTAGCAACAAAAAATCTAAAGATAAAAAATCTTTAACAAATAACATCACAAATTCTACTGAATTTATTCCACTATCCTCTACAGCATTACTCTTACCTACTACATACAACCATTAATGTGCTAAATGCAACTTGCCCATTTTCTGCAAAAAAATGAATAATCAACATTACTTGGCAGCAGACACAATTCTGTATAATAACAAACCTTATCATAAAACATGCGCAAATATTCAACAACCCTCTTAACAATCAAGCTCTTCTTCTACATTTATTCAAAAACTCCAACAAATGATTAGTTCCTATAACCCACTAGCATCTGAACTCACTTTTATAACATCACCTGCAAGTCATACTAGCAATCCAAATACTATAGATTTGGACAACAATACAATTAATAATAATAACCAACAATCACTACAGTTTAACAAATAATTATAACAACAACAACAACCAAATAAACAACAACAACAACCAGACAAATGACAACAACCAAACAAACAACAACAACAGCAGCAAACAAAACCTAATATTAACAACAACCAACAAAAAACCAAAACCAACCTAACATTTGACTAGATTGCCAACTTCCCTATTACTGAAGAAATAAAAGATAAATCTTAACTCCAAACAGACTTTGCTAGAAAAATTTTTAATTTTCTTAAACAGTATCTATATGATTTTAGGTCTGGAACTGAAATTAAACCAAAAATTAGTGATCAATCAGCCCTTAAAGCTAGCTTCTATCATATTATCCATAAAATGGCAGGAGAAAGATTACAATTTTTAGTTAAGTTTATTTAAAAAAATAATCCAAATATTGACAAAGCTATAACTATTCCTTTTGATGTACTTGAAGAAACTCTTAAAAAACTGATTCTTATATTTATCACTGTATTTTTTACAAAACTCAACTACCCAAAAATCTTTGCATTATTTGCAACTATTTCTTTTTATACAAGTCCAAATTAATTACAATTTTGTATTAATCTTGCCCATCTTCACCTTTATCTTTCAAATAACTATCAAGCTATTAACTATATTAAATTTGCTAAAGATATTCAAATTAGGCCTAAAAGATTTAGAATTTTATCAGAAGTAGTAAACTTCAATAAAGAAAAACAATATCTTACAATTAGTTTGGATAGCAAATTCAATATATATCTTAAATTTAATATTCCTAAAATATTCTTTCTACAAAAACTTAATATTCCAT